TTTTTGGAGACGTGTGGAGATCGAGACCTCGAGGATATCGTCAGCGACATCCAGAAGGTAGAGAAGTGAGTGTCGAAGCGTTCATCGAGTCAAAGTTCGTCCAGACGTGACGATAAGCGTAATACTAGTTCAAGTGGAAGTTATGGACGCCACGACGATCGCAGTCGCAGTCAAAAGAGGAGACGCAGTGAACCACGCCACACTTCACGTGTTGCGCTGGTCGATGCATCGGTGACAGCCCTCATCACTGAGTTGCAGACTCGTGCTTCATCGGAAAGACCCGACGAGTACTCAAACGACTACTCGAATGATGATCTACTTGACTTTTATGAGGGTGATGAAGCTGACCAAGATGAGTGTGGCAGAGATTGTGGTTCAAGGGACGAGATTCAAGGTGAAGATACTTATTCCGACCAATACGAGAGACTGGTTGCAGCTGCTAACGACAACGAACGTCGAAATGCTGCTAACGGGGTATTCGCGCGGAGTGACAATCGTCCACAAAACAACGGACAACAGTCAAGTGGATTTGGCCAAGGTAAATTTCGACCTACGACTCAATCTGGTTCGAGGTTCAAGGATAACCGTGATCGACGCAGTTTCCAGAGACCAAGTTACGGTCCATGCCCTGCATGTGGTGGACAGAATCATTCCACTCATTTTTGTTTCCGACGATGCCGGTTGTGCCAGCAGGTGCACGACTTCGGCAAGTGCGAGGCTTTCAACGAGCTGGACAAGATCCTCCAGACTAATGTGGACAAGAAGAACATTAGTCTCGGCTCCAGAAGCTTGTCTTCGGTGGGCATTTAAACTAGGTTGCCTGCCAACAGAGTTTGGGTTGGTCCGTACCGGGCAGCCACAGTCAGCCGACTTGGTGATTGACGCGAAATGTTCGTATGCGTTCACTGGGAAGTGGGAATGGCCTGAAGACAACAACGACAACGTAAACGAGAAAAATGCAGAGTTCAATGGAGAATGTGGCGTATTTCTCGACGGAGGCAAATTGCATGGGATTAATGAAGATAGTATTCCAAAAAAGGTGGTGGACGATGACTGGCTGGTGAGCATATGTGAAGCGGGTGAAGCTGCACCGATGCACGCCAAGACGATGAAGTTGCTCTCTGGGGAGCGTACGGGATGGTGGTCATCACAGAGGTTCGACCGACGAGTGATAAATGCAAGTTCTCGTGCGTGGTGCAGTAAACGATGTGAGAACTTCGATCCTCTTGGACACCGGCGCGAACGTGAGCATAATCACGACGAAGTTGGCGCGACGACAACGACTGGAACCTATCCAGGAGCATGGTCGACAACTCGAGGTACAAGGAATTCAAGAAGGAAATGTGTCAACGACAACTCGAGTGAAAGCCAAGGGTACTCTAGGCTGGAACACAGTCTATGAGTTCGAGATCTGGGTAGAAGTAGTGCTTGGTACCGACTTAATGATACCAGCCGGAATACACTTGGACTTGTTCAACGCGACGGCCAAGCTCCCGGGGAAGAAATGGTGCCGCTGGCGAAATCGCTAAGCGTTGACGAGACTCAGCTGAAGGGATGCATGTCACCGGCGGACCGACGAAGAGCCTGCAGATACCAGCAGGAGAGTGGACTGAGTTCCGGCTGCAGAAATGAAAACCATCGTTAGGAACTCGCGACGTTTGGGTGCGGTGCACCGCTGAGCTGATTCCGACGATTATATGGTTCAGGAAAGGGCAGCCAACTCTAGTACGGATGATGAATATCACTGACAGGGTGGTGTACTGTCCGGTACACCTTAATGTGATAGACTGGGTACCCCCAGGGCTTATGCCAAAGCAAGTTGGTTACGTGCCGATAGACTCTCGGAAGTACGAGCAGTGGCAGGTGTTGGTTTTTGCTGGATCACATGATGAAACGTGTTCAAGCTGGAATGTGAGCTGTACGAACGATGGCTGGCATCACAACCACCAGTAGTCGAGCGACAGCCCTACACATGGTCAACCAGCATATTACAGAAAGTCGACGAATACTCAAGCGATAGTGACGACTCACTGTCGCAGGACGAACAGTGGAGCATGAAGCCTGTGGCTCGGAGCGTCGATAGTGCGACTGATGGCTGGCCAGTGGGAGATGATCCGGTTAGCGCCGCAGTCGCATTGGGAGCTTTAACCCCTGCTCCAACTGAGTGTTTTGGCATTGATCGTGGTTGCAATACTCCACCGACCGGAACTCACAGCGATGAGAAATCGCTTGACGCGGTGGCCGCCGATCCGGAGCACACTTTCATGTGTGTTATGCACGTACTGTCCACAGAGGGCAACGACGATCCAGCTGACGATGACTACGCTGTACATGAAGCGAACTACATCTCGCAGGCGGACTATGCTCAAGAACTAGCATTCTTGCCTGACTTGACAATGCCCTCTCTCACAGAGCTCGATTGTACTGCTCCGAATGTAAAGAACTCGAGCTTCGTCGGCGATCAGCAACCACGACTCGATGATGCATTTAAAAAGCACGAAGCAATCATGATTTCAAGCGGCAATGCATTGCCACCTCCAGCGTATGGGGCGGTGTGTGACATTGATGTCCAAGGGCACGCACCGATTAAGCAACGAGCAAGGCGAATTCGGCTGAGGCACTTACAGAAGCTCTACGAGCTAGTCAAAGGGCTGCTGAAGGCCGATCTCATTACGTTCTCGGACAGTCTATGGGCGTCACCCATCATGATTGTGCCGAAAAAGAACGGTTAAGATATTCGGCTATGCATTGATTACAAGATGGTCAATGCAGTCAGCCCAATCATGAAATACACTATGCCGTTGGTCGACGACCTGTTGACCGAGTTGGAGCGTTACCTGTGGTTCTGTTCGTTGGATGCCGCAAGTGGATTTTGGGCGATCATGATGACAATGAGTGCGCGTAAGACTTTAGCGTTCGTTTGTACGCTGGTGCACTTTGAGTGGCTCCGAATGCCATTCTGACTGATAAATGCTCTCATGATCTACCAACAAATGATCGATAATTGTACATCCTAACGGTGGATGGGAGGGATATGCAGAACGAATGAAACTCGCTGAAGAAGCAGCTAAACCAACGATTACCCAACGATGACTCGGATTTTACCCTGACGACGACTCGGACCAAGTTTGAGGCTGATCGACAGGCGTCATCAGAGCTGGATCCGGTGTTACGAATGGTGAACGATCCATACGCAGACATGTTTGCGACTAATGAACCGGACGAATCGTCGCTAGTCCCAGTGTTCCAGCGTCGATCCTTCGTGGACGACATTTGTTTTGGTGGTACCACATTTGACGAGTGCTTGGACATAGTAGACAAGTTGCTGGCGCGGTTTGAAGAATGCAGGATCATTGTCAGCTTTACTAAAAGCATCTTTTGTCAGTCCATGGTTGACTTCCTCTCTCACGAGGTGTCGCCAGAAGGAATACGAGCTGACCCAAAGGTGACAGTCATTACAAAGTTGCCGTTCCCCAAGTCGAAGAAAGGAATGCAACAGTTCCTCGGCTCACTCAACTATTAAAGTCGCTTCATCCAAGACTTCGTAGTCTATGGAGCCGCGCTATATCAGGTTAAGGAAGACGACTTCTTCGAAGGGGGTGATTTAGTTGCATTCAAAGAGAGTTTTACTGCGCTCCAACAAAAAGTAGCTGAAGCTCCTATCCTACGGCATTTAGAAACGAAGAAAGAGGTGCTCGTCATGCTATACGCCAATGTGTGAGCTTTTAAGTGCAACCTTGATGCAGATGCACGACGACAAACTACATCCTGTTCGGTTTTGCGGACGAGTCCTCAAGGATGCCGAGATGAACTATCACTCGGCAGAGAAGGAAGTACTAGCTTTGTTACTGCTGCTCAAGGTTTGTTACATCCAGCTGGTGGGAAAGACACTGCATGTGTACACCCGATTCTCTATACTGGGATGGGTTCATAAATCTAAGTCGCTTTTCGGTCGAGCAGTGCAGTTTGCGGTGCTGTTGTCACCATGGCAATTGGTAGTGCAACGACTTTGGGAGAAGGACTGTGTATTTACTCAATTGCTCCAGTCAGCGAGCACTTACTTCGTGGACTTGGACGACTCGCTAGCACTTGTTGCACCACCTACTAAAGGTTCACCGAGTACTCGGTTAGACCCAAGTCTGCTCTACGCTCAGCTATCCCACAACTATGAAGGGTTTGTGGTCTCTTTTGATGGTTCCGCTAAGACGGAGAAGAATGGTGGCTACGGTAGCTGTTCATGGATAGTGTGGAAGCTTCCAGGGTGGCAGATAGTGATCGCTGCGAGTGCCTACCTCGAGCAAACCACGGTGAATATGGCTGAGTACAGTGGCATGAACCATGGGGTGATAGCTGCCCTGGAACATGGTGCTGAGAACTTAGTCATCGTTGGAGACTCGAGGTTGGCAATCCAGCAATCACTAGGGGTGATTGCATGCCGTAAGGATTCGCTAATGACACTCCTGAACCGCCACCGAGAAATCGTGGCGACACTCAAGTCAGTCCGATATCTGTGGTGCGTGAGTACAACGCAGCGGCTGACTCGCTCGCTGGTGAGGCATTGGAGTCGAAGGTGTCGAAAATGGTGCTCAATGACCACCGCAAGACCGGCCTCAAGGAGTTGAACTGAATCCAAGAAGTGATCTATGAGCCGTCTTCAGACGACATCAAGGTCGAAAACACGGGTTCCGGGACTTTTGTTCAAATTCTAGACGGAAAGACACATCGTATCCATGCTATGGACAGCGATATTCCGCTACAACGCAAGACCTGTGTTGATTTTGGGCACCAAGAAAGGGCCGAAGTCTCAGCTTCAACTCCAAGTCAGACCAAGACCAAGAAAAAACGAGTGCACTTCGAGGACGGAGTTCCCAAAGGAATGACTAATGCTGAGGCAACTGAGGCAGCCACCGAGAACAATGCAGGCACAACGACTAAGTGCTGAGGTCCGATACGAACCAACAGCCGACGACATTGACTCAGTTACAGTCCAAGAAGAGCGAATGCGTCGTATCGCCCAGGTCCAGGATGATAAGCTGAAGGGGTCGAACCTGAAGGCTATCCTGAGAGGCGGAACCACAGCGATGACTTACAAAGAGGCTCGAGAAGCAACCACAATGATCCAAGAGGTGCTACACAACTATCATGACTCCATCGAAGGAGGGCACCAAGGTGTCGTTCGCTCTTACCAAAGAGTGAAATACGACTACTACTGGATCGGTCTCTACGCAGATGTGGAGAAACATGTGAAATCATGTCTCGATTGCAGCTCGAGTAAGAGCTTGCCGCAGCTCAAAGGCTACTCACCTGGCAATGTGCTCGCAGAGCGACCATTCCAAGTGGTGTCAATGGACGATGTGATCCCTCTGCCGAGATCTCGTCGGGGGAACACTGCCCTGTTGTTATGGCAGTGCTCGTTTACTGGGTTTGTGATCGCTAATGCGATGTCGGATACCGATGCCCTGACTGTGGCCAAGGTGTTCGAGGAATGCATCTATAGACGATTTGGTGCTCCGTCACTTATTCATCACGACCGTGACCCACGCTTCATGAGCGAGGTCTTTCAGGCCTTTGCTGAATTAATACAAGCGAGGTCAAGGTCAACGCTGAGCTATCGCCCACAAGCGAATGAACAGTAAGAGCGGTCGGTCAAGACCGTGAAGCAGTCTGTCAAGGTCTACGTGGAAGATCCGTTGCAGCAAGACTGGGATGAGATCGCTGAGCGACTAGTCTGTGCGATCAACAACTCTCATGACATGACCAGGAATGAAACACCATTCTATTTGGCACATGGATGGGATGCCCATACGACGCTACGAACAATGACGACCTCTCTGAAGCGAGGTGTTGGTAAGCAAACTGGGGCACTAGTCTGGCGACGAGAGATTAACCGCCATCAGCAGGTTGTTCTCAAGATGGCAAAGGAATACCAAACAATGGAGAAGGCTCGACGCGCTAGAATTCACAACGAGAAGCTCAGTCGCAAAGAGCAAGCCGCAATATCAAAATATGTGAACGATGACTCGCCCGATGTTGACTCGGAACCGAGGTCTCTATTTCGACCTGAAAATCGAGTTTGGCTGTATATGGAGCGGGTGAAGCCAGGACTAGTTAAGAAGCTGGCTCACCGATGGCATGGTTCCTTCAGAGTGAAGCGGAAGGTTGAAGAGTTCGCGTACGAGTTCGTGTTACCAGATAAAAGCGGTTATCGGTTTTACCCGGTGGTGCACGTCTCTCGACGGAAGGCTGTGAATGAGTTTTGCGATCAGCCGAAGGCGCCACTAGCTCGAGGTGTTGCTGAGGAATCGACATTCAACTTCGACGAAGGGTTGTTGGACGCGTTGTGATTGGAGGAAAATTCTCAGCCACTCATTCCAACTAAATTGGTCTAGGGTTGTGCCAGAAATTGTGGAGTGTGACTATGGATATTTGTTGATGATATATTTTGGAAATTACGATGGATACATTTCCGGTATCCAAAAGAAGGGTACATGAAAGAAGATGGATTGGCGAAAAAGAAAGTGATATGAATACACCAAGGTACAAGTGGAGTGACGGTAATATTAGACGCCGATGAGCAGCGACCGGTGTTGAGAAGTGACTTTTGGATATCGGGTATCGCAATCAATGGATGCGTGGATCTGAGTCTGGGGTTCGAAACTCTGACTATAGTTCAGACTATATGTTAATGACCGACCAGTACGTCCGACCGGATATGTTATGCAAGACTGTTGGACGATTGCGATTGCCGACCCATACTGAGACCAAGTGTATTTTGCATGTGTTACGACTACAGGGAAGATTGACAGAGAGACTTATATTTTAACAGAGAATTCGTTTTGCCATCTAAAGCACAAGCACCTTCAGGCCGTCTTTGTTTGTGGGCGGTAGTCGTGTGTCAGCGAAGAAGCAAGGAGTCGACTTTCGGGCAGCGTACCTGAGTGACCCCAAGTGGAGTCTTGTGTGTGGGCGTATCGGCAGAGTGGAGGGTCGGCACGTCGTCTTCGAGTAAGTTATCAAGCCCATTTCGG